TTCACTATCTCTCCTTAAAGAATCTTATTCCCCTCAAGTACCCAAGGTTGTGGAATGATTCCTCCCAGGATAGAAAGGACGTACCTTTTCCGGCGTAGCGGTACCTCAAACCCCGGAAACACCATCGAACGCAACGAAACGGCGAGAACCACACTTGACTCTATTTTCTCTTTGAAAAGAATGCAGAAAAACTAGTTTTGGATTTTGGCAGAATTTCAGTACCGGGAAAAATCCATGTAAAACTCGTTGTTAAAACAAGAGGGGGTATTGTGCTATTTATAGAAAATGAAGGGATGCATTGAAGGGAGGCAACTCTTCATATGGGTGGTTACACCCCAACCATTGCATTGGTTCGTTTAAAATATTTCAACCATTGCATTGGTTCGGCCTCATGGAAGTTGGACCGGTTTGGTTATTCCAACCGCCACATCGGTTCGGTTCGATTTGGTTAAACTCGGTTTGGTTCATTTGGTTACACAAACCAATTTAACCAACTAACCACATATTACATCAAATCGATCGAATTCGAGGCCATGCCTTCTCACATCTTACCAACATGGTACTTCAAGAGACTCTCTTGAAACTTTCCCCTTTTATTTCCATTCACACCACTAAAAATCCCAACAATCCCCCACATGAATGGAGAATGTTGTACTTTAAAAACTATGCAAAAAATCGTGTGATTCTCGACTAAGAATTAGTTGCATCGGAATAGGTAGGTTTCCCTTTGAACCTTCCTTAGTGAACATATATCGAGTATACTCACCAATCGGTAGATGTGATATCTTTGAACCGTCGGTTTTGCTTGTACACTAAGACAACATATGTCACACACCTAACTCTTATCCGTTCACTGGTTCTCATTGTTGTGTTAGTTTCAGCCATGAACACCGCCTGGTCTCATGAGTGCTTAGAGAACTGGCCTTCTTTTATTCTCCTTGAAGCGGCTCCACTTCACACTCACATAGGTGATTTCTAAACGTGTATTCCGAAAATACACTATTTTATCACATCATGTGTCAAACTTAGAAGCCATTAAAAACCTTCCATCTTTAGGTTTACCCTTATAGTTGGACATTGTCTCATCATGAGAATGAACTTTGAATAATTTGACAATGTCGGACCATCATTCACAACTTTGTTTTCTCCTTGAACCTAGAGGTTGGGTCTGCCAATCCTGCTTAGGTAGAGTTACCGCCATGAAGATTTGTCCTAGGCCACGAGTCCATTCCCTTCGATGCTATCGTTAATTTCTAGGTAGGCCTAACGTTTGTTATCACTTGATCTAAGATGATCAATCCAAATAACTTTGCTAGAAATTAATCAATCCATAGTGTCACGTTTCCATTATCTTTGACGAGATTTATCACATAATGACTAAATTGCAACTTTGATCACTTGAATTACTAGTATAGTTCACGTTAGCTACTAGAATTATTTTATTCTATCCGTATTCACTTAAATTAGTTCAATAATTCGAGTTTGATTACTCTCCGTTAATTCGAGTTTAATTGTCACATCACTGATTTTCGTTCTGCAGAATATGTAAACCGCACCTTCCTAGTGCGTTTCGTGTGCTGACGTGGCTTGGAACGCACCCCTAAGGTGCGTTTTACTTATAAACCGCACCTTAGGGGTGTGTTCCATTAAAAATGGTGCTGTTTCTGACAACTTTTTCGGATGAGTGCTAGTTTTGTAATTTTTTTTAAACGTGCTATTGTTGAAAAAATCCCCTAAAAGTTAACTATCACGTCAGCCAAAGTTAACGGAGACCAACAGAGAGTGACCAAACTTGAACTGTTGAACTAATTTAAGTGACTACAGATGAAATAAAGTAATCCTAGTGGCTAACATGAAATTTACTAGTAATTCAAGTAATCAAACTTGCAATTTAACCTTAAACAAATGAACTGCTGAAAGGTGGCTTAGCTTTTTAGTTAATCACTCACAGTAATAAAGTAAGTTGGAGTTTGGAACATCTTATAAAGTTATACATTTCTTTTATGTTGTTTCACCAACCCGACAACCACGTTAAGTTAAGCTTCAATTGTCTCAGACGTTTAAAATCTGTCTCTGTCTTGTTTTGGCAGTGTACGACTTGACTCGTGTAACAATCGACTAGAAAGCATAATCAAACAGGCGATGAGGTATGGTATAGTTGGAGTTATGGTGTATTTTTTGTATCGCATAATATAATTTATGTACCATATAGCATAATTTATGCACCACCAATGGTATAAGATGTTTTAATTGCCTTTTTCTCTCCTTATAATATAGGCCAAATTCACCTGTATAACCAAAACTTTGACGGTTTTGCCAAATATAGCCACTTTTGTAGAAATACCAGAAATAGCCACTTCCGTCCAATTGTTTGACGGTGTTAGTTAACGTGCTGACTGGACAAACGACAGCGGTTGACGTGGCATATTTTATTCAAAAATAATGTAAGTGGAAAATAAACAAAATTCTATCTTTTTACAATTAAATAAAAAATTATAAAATTAAAAAACAAAATTATCTTTCTCTCCATCACCAACACCGCCTGTTCACCTCCCCTTCGTCTCGCTCTTCTTCACGCTGAATTCCCCGCTTTCCCGACCTCTTCCAGCCTCGATATCACGCTGCTCGCCGGCCGAGTCGTGGCGAATCTCAGCTCTTCCTTCTCCATCCTCTTCTTCTCCTCGAACAGCGGCGAGAGATCGAACCCTTCGGACAGAGAAATGATGTGGAACGCGTTCAGGGTCTCCTTCGAATTCTCCGATTTCGCTTCGTCTTCTTCGCAATTGAACGCGTCGAATTCGATCTCCTCCTTGCTGCGTATGGTTTTGGGGATGGATTTTCTGAACCATGACGACTCCATGACCTTCGAGATGGTGATTCGACTCGCCGGATTGGGGTCGAGGAGCTTGGTGACGAGGCAGCGGGACTCGGAGGAAAACCACGGCGGACATTTGAAGTCTCCCCTGTAGATTTTTCTATACATGGCGACCAGATTGTCGTCTTAAAAGGGGAAGAGGAGGAGGTTCTCTGGGTTCAGATCTAGGTGGTAGACGCCGCGGCTGTGGCAGAAATCGATGGCGGAGATCAATTGTTGGAAGTAAACCCTAGCGGCGTCTTCCCTCAGCCGGCCTCTGGCGACCTTGGAGAAGAGCTCGCCGCCGCGGACGAGCTCCATGGCGATGTAGATCTTGGACTTGCTCGCACCTGGCGTGGCAGTGTTCGATCCCAGCCTCTCGATCTTCCCAAACTTACCCCAATCCACAATTCGAGCCGCCGCCGTCGCCTAACTCTTCTTCTCATCTGATTTCGAGTCGTCGCTTCGGCAGAAGAAGAAGAGGCGCTCCAACTGCCGCTGTAATTCCCGTTGGAGATTCTTCCATATCTTGAAACTCTTGCCCGCCTCTCCGATTCCGAGGGCATCATCCTCCCCGGGTAAACTTATCGCCGCCATCGAATTCGGCGCCGCTCCGGTTCATCTCCTTGTCCAACATCTTCACCACTCGTCCGATGGAAATGGAAACGGATTGGGCGAGGAATAGAGAGAAGAAGTGTGTAGGTTTTGAAATTGGCTTCTGGGTAGGATGAAGATGATGACGGGATCGCGGCGGCAGGGAGATGTGTCGTAGTGATGGTGGTGATTAGGTAGTGATTTATTTATTGTTTTATTTATTAATTGTTTTATGGTAATTTTTTTTACCCATTAAAAATGACGTGACATCCCACTTGTCAATGGATGCTGAGGTGGGAAGGAAAGACACGGTGAGGTGGCAACCATATCAACTGTCCGTTAATTAGACTAACGGTGTCATTGACGCTGTCAAACTATGTAACGGAAATGGCTATATTTGTCATCGAACTTTCAAAAATCTGGCTATTTCTGGTATTTCTCCAAAATTGGCTATATTTGTCACAACCGTCAAAGTTTTGACTATGCAAGTGAATGTTATTATCTAATCATATATCAAGATGAATGTTATTATCTAATCATAATTAATTTAATTTATTCGTGAAGCAAAATAAAAATCTTAGTTAAGAAAATATGACGAGACGCCTTGAATCCGCTTATCTTGCATATGATTGATAGTGCAAGGTTTTTTGCATAATGTGTTTAGGATTAAGATAAGGGTTCTATAATAACCTTCTAGCCGGGCTCTATTATGTAACTCGCCGTTTCTCTTTAAAAAGGATCGTTTGGATAGGGTATTGGTATGAGTTATTCGTGAGTTATTTGGGTTCAAATAACTGACAGCGTCTTACTGAAATGAGTTATTTGGACAGTGATTTATTTACAAATAACTCGTTTTATCACTGTGCTTTTACCAAATACCACATGTCAAATACCACATTTGCATGGTTCAACCAAACGAGATACTTTATTTCAATTACCACTGAAATAACACCGAAATACCACAAGAACAATAAATGAGTTATTTGACTCTACAAATACCACATTGTCAATTAACCCATCCGAACGACCCCTTCGAAATAAAATAGTGGATCTGTTATCTTTTATCCGTGTTAATCAGTTCACATAAATTATGCTAATAAAATCACATAAATTCTTGTGTTGTTTCTTCTTACTTTATCGATTGTTCGTTTCATTATAACCAAAAAAAAAAATAATAATAACATACAGTATCACAAACATGAAAATGGAAAAACCACAGCCTCGTCTTCACTCAAACAAAAACCCACCCATGACCCAACCATTTTTTTCTTCTTCGGCATGGGCTCATAGGCTGATAGCAGCAACCCATCAAATGACAACGTGGAAGCCACTAGCCCACATTGCATATTTCTTTTTGGCCAAAAAACCAAAAGCAACATGAGAAGGGTAAAAGAACAGAGATAACAATGGGATTCTCAAGGTTACTTTGACTACATCGCCACCTACACACAGCCACAACCACTCCCTGCTACATCTTCCGCTCCATCCATACCAGTACAAGTGTACAACCCAAGGTCATAAAAAAAAATAAAAACTACTCCACTTCCCCCCACCTCAAAACAATAAAAACAAACCAAAAGAGCAGATATCAGCTCTCTATCCTCCTCCAGGCTTCTCCTTCCTTTGCCCTTCCCCACCATTCCCCAGAGCCAAAAAAAAAACAACAAAGAAAAACTAACACAGACATTCTCATTCCCTCCTCCCCAGATCGATAAACACCATGCTGGAAAAGCACAAGGACGACAGGAAATCACCAGGAGCCTGGAGAGCAACGAAAGATGGCTTCGGAAATGGCACACCCACCTCCTCCTTCTTCCCTAAAGACCACCCTTTCCCTTTCCTCACCAGAAAGTTCCTTCAATGGACCTTCTACCTCCTCCTCCCCTTCATCGTTTTCCGCTTCTACTTTTACCCTTCTCCTCCACCTTCTCCCCTCGCGATTCCCCTCTCCTCTCTTCCCCTGAACTCCTCTCCTTCTTCTTCCTCATCCTTTCCTCCTCAACTGCCAGGTATGTTTATGAAACAGTTCTCTGTCTCAAAAAGGTCATACCTTTCTTTCTGGGTTTCACTCTCTGCCCAGTATTCAGGTCCTTAAATTTCGTGGGTCTCTGTTTTTTTTTTGTTCTCTGCAGAGGAAGAAGGGATTTTGAGCAAGGAAACGGCATGTGACTACACTCAAGGTAAATGGGTCCCTGACCAAATGGGTCCTCTCTACAACGGCACAACCTGCGGGACAATCAAAGACGGCCAGAATTGCATGTCCCATGGAAGGCCCGACCTGGGTTTCCTCTACTGGAGATGGCAGCCGCAAGAATGTCAGCTTCCGAGGTTTGATCCAAACGAATTTCTCCAATTTTTTGCTGACAGGCACATCGCCTTTGTGGGCGACTCCATGGCCAGGAACCAGCTGGAGTCGCTGGTTTGTATGCTGTCCTCTGTTTCCCCTCCCAATCTCGTCTACAAAAATGGCGGCGACGACAACAAGTTCCGGAGATGGCATTTCGCTTCCCACAACGCCAGTGTCTCCATTTACTGGTCTCCTTTCCTCGTCAAGGGCGTGGAGAAGTCGAAAAACGGGCCGGATCATAACGAATTGTACCTCGATCGAATCGACGAGCGATGGGGGAAGGATTTGGATGGGATCGACACGATTGTCTTGTCAATTGGGCACTGGTTCTTGCATCCTGCGGTTTACTTGGAAGACGGCAAGGTGCTAGGTTGCCACTACTGTCCTGGTCTGAACCATACCGAAATTGGGTTCTATGATGTGCTGAGGAAGGCAGTCAGGACCACACTCAACACCATCTCCGATAGAAGAGGAGATGGGATTGATGTGATCCTCACCACGTTTTCGCCATCTCACTTCGAAGGCGATTGGGACAAGTTCGGTGCTTGTCCCAAGACCGAGCCTTATGGCGAAGGGGAGAAGCTGCTGGAAGGGATGGATGCTGACATGAGAAAGATCGAGGTCGAAGAAGTTGAATCGGCCAGACTTGGAATCGGTGGCAACCAGAAGAAGGTGAGATTAGAGGCATTGGATGTGACCAGACTGTCATTGATGCGGCCCGACGGCCATCCGGGGCCGTACATGTACCCTTTCCCATTTGCTAATGGTGTTGGTGAACGTGTTCAGAATGATTGTGTACATTGGTGCTTGCCTGGCCCTGTGGATACTTGGAATCAAATACTTCTGCAAGTGATTAAGAGACTGAGGAGGCAATAATTCTCTTGTTGCTTGAGGTGTAGATTGGGTTTAGTTGGTTGTCATGTTCATGTTCATGCTTTCTGCTGAGAGCTGATTTGTTATTGTACAAAGGGCATCAAGTGTGTTTTACAGAAGTGCTGTCCATTATTGCCAGAGTTTCAGATTCATTGTGACTCGATCCAGTTTTTGGTTCTATGAACCTTGTCTAGTTGACAAGCTGTATTTTTTGTTTTTTGACTTTTTGATTAAATAAACAGCAGAAAAACCCCTGGCGGTTTGAGTACCTTGATGTGTTGCCTGTTCTTCTTCGCTGCTGCGTGCCTGTAGTGAACATTAGAGGGATTGACTTGAACGAGTCAAAATTGCAGAGTTGAGAGTTTGTTATATAATATACTATTTATGGCTCACTGGAATCTCAGAACCAAGAGGCGAAATTTGTTAAACAACTCCATCTGGGAGCTTGAAAGTCCAAAGGAAAACAGAATCACTTTTTCCCAGTTGGAATAATAGGTTGGGGTTGGGGAGACTTTGACGATGAGAATTGGAGATGGGGGCCATTGCCCTGGCGGATTCGACTTCGAGGCATCCAAGGCTAAAATGGCCTCGGAAGAACTCATTCGCCGTTTTCCCCTGCCGTCGTCTGTTGCTGAGCATCTCAGCCTCGTCTCTTTTCGGCTGTTGTGGGTTTCGGTGTCATTTCCGTTTGTCATTGGCAACTGTTCTGGGTTTCGGTTGAGACTAGGCTGGAGTTCTTTGTCTCTCCTTTTCTCGGTCCATCTTGCCTTCGGCATCCTGGACCTTTTTTCAGCTCTGAGCATCCCGGTTTCAGCCCTACCCACCGCCATGTAATTGCAACCTTGTGATTCACTGTGATGGATCGTCTTCGAACGATCCCTAGGAGGCGGCTTATGGCGTTGTGTTTTCAAGCGCCATGGTCTTGTCTGTTTTGGGAGAGTTGAAACCCTGCTTTGTTGCTGATCTGTTGGTTGTGGAAGCGTGAGGTTCTTGGGTTCACTTCCTTGGCTCTGGTGATGGCTCTCTGATATTGGTGTAGTTCAATCTGGCCTGCTTTTTCTTGTGGCTGGTTCTCTAGCTTTGCTTTTGTCTTTGATTGTTCTGCCTTTTTATTAGAGTGTCCATTTTGCTTTTGTTCCATTGATGTAATCCGCCTCTTGTAACCGTGATTTCCAGATTGCAATATAAGCACATCCTTTATATAAAAAAAAAGGCTAAAATGGCCGCAATCATTTCTCCATATGGCAATGCCATTGATTTCACATCATTGAACTTGAGAACCCATTTCACAAGTTTTCAACTTTGCCCGTCAAATGGGTAAAAAACGGTTAATTACATCGGATACTACCCAAATATTAATTTTGTTGCATATTAATTATTTAAGTTTTTTTAGTTGCAACTAAATCACATAAGTCAACTTTCATTTGCATGGTTATATTTTCCATCCGTAAAATTAACGGTAGGTATCAAATTGTAATGTTGCAATCAAACTTAACGGAGGTTTTGTTCTTCAGTTTCAGTCAGAGCTAGGGATAGTAATGGGTCGGGTTTTGCCAAAACCTTATCCGTTAAAAAAAAATCCGGGGTTAAACCCACTGGGTTTGGAAAACTCAAACCCAACCCAACCCGCTGGGTATCCACGGGTTCACGAGTAACCATGGATTTTTGTGATAAGAAATTTACAATAACAAGTTGCTATCAAATAAAATTCAAACATCAATTTCCCCATACAAATTATCCATACATAAAACACTAGTCTAGAAAATCCAAACATATCATAATTACACTAAATAAAAACACACGTAATAAGTGTAGTGAGAGTTAGATTGGGGGATATTAGAATTATGGTAGAGTTTGGGTTCAGTAGGACGACGGAATAAGTGTGGGTGGGTATCCATGGGTCGAGTATCTCTAAACCCAAACCCAACACGGTGAATAGTGTACGAGTTTAAACCCAAACTCGGCCCAAAATCCGTCAACGTGAATTTTAGCCGCGTTGACCGGGTTGGGTCGGGTAGGGTACCCGTGGGTTCTGGTTTTGTTGCCATCCCTAGTCAGAGCAACGGTGATGGGTTTATGTCTCATCTTCCCGCCGACGAGTTCTTCAGCTTGCCAGAGGTTTTGTTACTTTATGTAAACATTATTGTGAAAAATTACAATTTGATACCCACGGTTAAGTTTAAGGATGAAAAATATAATTATGCAACCGAAAATCGACTTATGTGAATTAGTTGCAACTAAAAAAATTTAAGTAGTTAGCATGCAACGAAACCAATACTTACGTGGTATCCTGTGCAATTAACCTGGTAAAAAAGAGGTTGGGGTCATGCGTATGCTCTGCGCTGCGGTGCAAAACTGCCTACGGAAATTATTTTGTGATAATATACCCTTTTCGAGATTTTCTATGACGTGTTCAACGTGTTCAAGTAAGGTAATTTGAACTTCTTTTAGTTAGGTTTTATAGGTCGCATTACATAAAATACAATAGTCATAATGCAAGATACAATAACCAATATATAATGGTTAAGTGACTTATGTTTATCTTTGTAAAATGGCACTACTGAACGCTTACGTAATACACCGTCTTTTATGTAATGAATGTTATCCTCGCGTTACGCAAAATGTTAAATCAATACACAGTCTTTTATGTAATGGATGTATATTTTACGTAATAGTTGTAAGTTTCATTCGGAAAGCCTTAATTAATGAGCGGTCCTTTTCCATAATGAATATTAACCTCACGTTATGCAAAGTGCTAAATCATTACAGAAGTCTTACATAACGCTTCTAATTTAATTGTTACGTGATAAATAACTATCATTCTGTAACCTTTACTTAATGATGTGTATTTTTGTAACATTTGTAAAGTGTCATTACAGAAGTCTTACGTAATGGATGATCATTTTGCATAATGAAAATTAACCTTGTGTTACGGTTTGGGAAGACCCACCCCTTCAACTCAGCTGTTTGGAGTTAGCTTTGTTGCCACTCCGCCTGGCATGAGTCAAGCATGATGTGGTGCACTCTCCCAGATTGTTCTGTGACAGAGAGGTTGAATAAGGTTCCATCGCGTCCGGTAATGGAGTCCAAGGAAATATGCTTGTGGTCGATCTCGATTATGTTCAGATGCTTTTCCAAAGTTGCACTACCATCCAATCTTCCAGACGACGAGTACCTGCAAAAAACAAAACAAAACAAAACTAAATCTCTCTCTCTCTCTCTAAGGGGTTTCTCTCTCATTCTCTCTCTTTGGTGCTAAACACATGTTCAATCATTATTAATTTGTTAATTCATGCCGGAAAATTTTCTAATAAGAAAGGATGCTTCTTGAAAATTTATGAATCCTTGCGAGCGAGGCATATGTTCTTTATCATCATTCCTGCAGAAGACGACCAGGTTGGATGGAGAAAAATGATTAATCTTTTGCAATAGCGCCTCGTTCAGCCTTCATGTGTCAGTACTGAAGCTGAAGAGAACCAGAGCCAAAGCCTCCCCAAATCTTACGCCAACTCTGCCCGCATCAAAGTTTTTTGCACTCTCGGAGGGGCGAAGATCACAACTGTGGGGGAGATAAATCCATTGAGGTGGGAAACGTTGGGGTTGAGGAGAGACTGGAGCTGCTAGGATGTTGCTTGATTGTGCCCTTTAAGGTAAGGATGGCGAGTTCCTCTCGACTCATCGCCTCTCCTCCTTCTTGTCCTGGGCGACTACAAAATGGGCTTAACCAACCATGAGTTTAAAGACGATGGAGATGGCAGGTGAATGTGTAACATCTCGAACCTTTTTCCGACAAGATATTGTCCGCTTTGGGCCTCTACTCCCGCACGGATTTGCCTTGGGGTGCATATCAAGGTGACTTCCCATAAGGTCACCCAACCTTGTTGTACTCCACACTGAGCAAGTTTAACTTCTGAGTTCTCACAAGAACTCCTCCATTTCACCCCAAAACGCGTCTTGTCAGTTAAGGACGGTTTCTTACTTATGAACCATGGATCTCTCCCATGTTTTGTCGATGTGGGATTTGCCTAAGGTGTTACAGGATGCTTATTTGTCCTTCCTCTGAGGATGTGAATCACATCTACATCATAGGTGGGGATCGCTTTCAAAATCTAAGTGTGCGCCTTGAGCATTGGCCTGATTCAAGCTCGATTGCCCCCAGAAAGAATGCTCCAGCACACTGGGTTTTTGTGTTTGGTATCCCCCTTCATCTAAAAAGTCCACATCTCTGTTAGATAATAGGTGACTTTTTTGGTAAATTCTTGGTGGTTGATTGGAATTCTTGGTCCTCAACCTTCGTCTGAATTAAGATCGAAGCACAGGGTTGGATCCCTAAGGAGGTCCCGGTCTTTTTTGATGGGAAGTTATTCATCATTAAGGTCAGATCCACACCTCATCTTGATCTGGTGATTGTCATAGGCAAAAGTTCCATTTTTTCTAACTAGAAGGCGAAAGGTCGCGAAATTCAGGTTCCCTTCCCCGAGGTTGCGCATGATGAGCCAAGGTCATGCACGTCCACGCTTTTCGAGAATTATCCTCTCTCCATGCATGTGGCCAGGTTAGCTGAATTGTCTACTCTTTCTAGAAAGTTTGGAAAGGAGGCTAGCATGCCCAGATCTGTTTGGATCCGCAAAGTCAGGCCCATCCCAAACCCGTTTACTATCTCTTGGCCCAACCGTGAACATCCCACCAGTCCGCATCGCCAAAGTCTGATTGTCAATCCCACTCCCTCACGCCCAAACGAAAATCCCTTGCAACCCATTTTGGCTCAACCTTCATCTCCCTCCTGATTCCCTTCTACCGACCACCCGTACCCGGTCACCCCATCCACAACCTTCTCTTTAATCATTTCCCTCCTTTCCCTTCTTTCTCCTCTCCTCTACGGACTCCAATATGCTCAACCATCATTGTAACCCGCACCAATCATCCCTCGCCTTCCAAGACCAACCCATTTGTGTTACCCTTCTTTCGTCGACTCCTAGCCTTAGCCACTCTTCATTGGATCCACCTACCCCTGTTGTGCATGTAGGGGATATCTCCACTGACCTAAACTCCCAATTAGGCAATTACCATCACAAGATACTCCCAATTCCCCTTTTCCACCAGACTTCCCAACCTTCATTGAGCCAGATCCCCCAAGTATGATTGTCCGGGGAGACTGTGTTGATTTCGACCTGACTTCTACACCTTTTGACCTTGATAGCCTTTCCAGTTGTAGCCACCTTTGTTCAACAGAGTGCATCCTCCACCCATGGGAGGAAAAAACGTGTGACGCGATCAAAGACAGAGATGGAGAGACATCAACTAGGCCCGGTTATAAGCCATGTCGGAGGTCCTAGATGTAGGAGGAAAAGAGATTTGGATCCAACCGCAAATGTATTATAATGGTTAAGTC